CCCGGCTATTTTTTGGTTGCAGCCGTCATTGTTGTTTGGCGGGTCTGGGCTGGGGATTCGAACCCACCACCTCAGGTGTATGTGGCTGGCGCCTTAGCCGCTTGAGCCACAGGCGCCGAGCCCAGCCTGATTTTCTTTAATGAATAACTCTTCCCCTAACAACCGCAATCAGTGTAACCTAATTCTTTGTACCCTCAATGAATTCCAAACAATTTAAAAAAAAAAAAAAAAGAGTAACTCTTCCCTCCACATGCAAGCCATGTGGCTTGGGGGGCCCACCCCCCTACAGCAGAGACGGGAACCAGGCGTGGCCAATCCAAGTATCCCACCACTGCCCCCTCAGGAAAGGACAAGTGACCCAGCACTTCTGCTCTTTCTACTGGGACAGGGAAACTCTAGTCAGATGAGAAGCTAGAGATAAAGCCTAATGAGCCTTGGGTCTCCCGGCGTCTGACACCACACATCCTCGGACTCTGCTACTACATGAGCCAATAGGTTCTTTGTTGCAGACAAGCCAGCTGGACTTTGGTTTTCTGTTGCTCAGAGGAGTCCTCACACTTGTCATGGGGGCTTTCACACAGGCAGCTGGAGCCCCAGCTCTGCCCCAGGGGATTTTCCCTTCCTCTGTCACCAAGGCAGATGTCCAGCTCAATACCACACTGCACCGGGCCTACCCCATTTGTCCACCTGTGTGTTCGCTCCGTTGGTATTTACCAAACACTCAATGACCACATGCCAGGCCCTGGGCTACGTGGGCCCAGGGGTTGTTTTCCACAAGCTCAGGGTGTGGTAAGGAATTCAAGCCCTAACGAAATAACCATGAAACAACTGGTCTCCTGTTTGCTTTGGATGCCAGCAAGTTCATAGCCATGCTTGGGACCAACTTTCTAGCAAGCTGTAGGCAGGCGCAGCACAGTGATGAAGGGGGCGGATGCCACAGTCTGAAAGACCCAGGTTCAAATTCCAGCTTCACAGCCTTGGACAAGGCATCGCATCTCTCTGAGTGCTACTTTCCTCATGTGGAAATGGGAGTAAAAATCATACCTACTGTGAAGGGTATCGGGAAGATTAAGTAACACAGCACTTGTAAAGTAAAATGACGCACTCAGTACTGTGCCAAGTGCATGGTGCCGCCCACTGACTCTGCGTTGCTTCCACTCTGCCCTTGGCTTCAGCAGCTCTACCCTTCCCTCATCCCTGTGCCCTGACTGTCCTGCCTGCATCCCTGCATATTATTTTATCACATATCATGTGTATTTTATTGTTGTTGAGACAGAGTCTCATGCTGTCACCCTGGGTAGGGTGGCATGGTGTCATAACTCACAGCAACCTCAAACTTTTGGGCTCAAGCAAAAGATGCTTCAGCCTCCCAAATAGGTGGGACTACAAGCACCTGACACAACATGTGGCATTTTTTTTTTTTTAAGAGACGGAGTATCACTCTTGCTCAGGCTGGTCTTAAAACTCCTGAGCTCAAGCAATCTACCAGCCTCAGTCTTTGGGCTGGGATTACAGGCGTGAGCCACCATGCCCGACCTTCATGGGTATTCTTTTTTTTTTTTTTGAGACAGAGCCTCAAGCTATCCCCCTGGGTAGAGTGCCGTGGCATTACTCACAGCAACCTCCAACTCCTGGGCTCAAGCGAGTCTCCTGCCTCCGCCTCCCAAGTAGCTGGGACCACAGGCGCCCGCCACAACGCCCGGCTATTTTTTGGTTGCAGCCGTCATTGTTGTTTGGCGGGTCCGGGCTGGGGATTCGAACCCACCACCTTAGGTGTATGTGGCTGGCGCCTTAGCCGGTTGAGCTATAGGCGCCGAGCCCCTTCATGGGTATTCTTAAGAGGCACTCTCAATTGTTTTGGGAACAAGATGGAGGCACACTAATACTCATACTAATGCCAATGCTGCAGCTGCTGACATGTGACAGTCAGATATCTGGGGAGCTTCGGAGGCCAGCGCCTCGTCTGCCTGCATGGGACACAGCACACAGGGAACCTTAGGGGAGGCCAGTTGAAGGAACAAGTGTAGCACCAAGAACTAGGCCAGCAGCCTGGACATAGGGAGCCCAGAGAAGAGAGCAGAAGAAACTCTCCCAGGAGAGACAGCCCCTTGGCTGGGGCCACCAGCTTAAGAGCAAGAGCAGAGCTGAGTTCAGTCTCAGCTGTGTTTTGACCTGAACAAGAGAGCCCGGGCAAGTCCTCTTCCCCAGCCCATGGGCCTCGGTCTACCCGTTTAGGTCATAAAGGCCTTTGACAAAGGGCTAATATTTTAGGATTCTAAGGCACCCCCAGCTCCTTGTTACCTTGTCACCCAGGAAGGTCTGGGGCAGCTGCCAATAATAGAGGCTTCCAGGAAGCAGAGAGAAGCCTTCGTAGGAGAGAGAGAACTAGGATAGAAGGACAGGTAGTGAGAGCTAAGAGGAGTGCACATGGGGGGACAACAGGGCAGAGATGGTTCCCACGGGGTAAACAGTCACCCAAGAAGGCTTGGCAGCAGGACAGAGGGCCAGAGCCCCCCACCCACAGTGCAAGTCTTGGCCTTGCTCTTTGGACAACCTCCTTCCCCCATGTGGACCTGGAAACCCGCTGCTCTCTCTGGGCATGGCCTGGGCCCACATCTTCTCATGTCTTGTGTGTCTCTCTTGTGGACCTCAACACATGGGTCAACATTTTAAAATCGAGCAGCTCTTTTAACATGCATAGTACCGATTTCACGGAAAATCTGAAGAGAGTAATAGTCTAGGTAATGTAAAAACTTGGGAAGTTGGTTCAGAAATGACTGGTGTCTAGAAAGCATGGTGGGTGGGGGGCCTTTGGTGAGTGCCTTGGCACATACCTGAGAGCCTGCTGGGGAAGATGAGGAGGAAGAGGAGGAGGAGGAGGAGAAGGAGAAGTGGGAGGAGGGGGGAGCTGCTCGCAGAGCAGCTGCAGGCTGGGGATGGGGGGAGAGCCTCTGAGGAGGGGGCTGTGGGTGGGCAGCAAAGCTGGAAAGGAGCTGCCAGATCTCAGCATCCATCCGCCTCTGAGCCTCGTCCACCTGGGGGACCGGGAGAGGGAGAACAGAGGAGAGGAGCAGAGAGGGACAGAATGGATGCTTGTGAGGCTTCCCTGCCCTAAGCTGCCCCCGGGCCCAGCCAGCTACTGCTCTGCACCATCTATTCCCAAGTGCTGGTGCCAGACTCTCCACCTTTGTACCACTGCCCTCTTGCTCCTCCTGAGCCAGGTGGAAGTATCCTGGGATGGGCTTGGCTGCCCATGGGCTGTGACTGCTGGCGGAAAGCCCTACAGAGGGTGCCCAGCAAGAGGTGGGCAGACAGCCCTGTCCTGCCAAGGCCAGAATGCTGAGGCAGCCCCCGCAGCATCTGTGGTGGGCAGGCTGCCCCTTGGCCTGACTCTCTGTATGTGCCCTGGCACTAACCCAAGCCATTCCCAGCTCTGGAATGTTTCCCAAGGGCCTGGGCTGGCTGCAGGAAACTGGCCCAGGAGGGCCTTGGGCTTGGACTAAAGTTCTCTGGTCCCCTCTTTGTGGCCCCAGACCCAGCCAGTCCCTATTACCTGTGATACCCGCTGTGCCTGGCCCTTGCCCTCTGGGAGTCCCAGGATCCTCCCAGCTTTCACAGCTGCCCGCCACTGCTCCTCTGAGAGGGATGTGCGGTTCTGATGGGATGGAGGGCACAAGCCAACTCAGACCTCCCGAGGTCTCTACCCATGGATATGGTGGCCAGAAAAGCCCACACTGATTGGGAGGAAAGATGCATGCTCCCCTCTCCAGCTTGCAGGCCCTGGGGGGGCACATGCACACAGGGGTTAGTGGTGGCTGCTCGGGAGGCAGCGCCAGGGGCACCTGGGGGGCAGATACAGTGGTGTGCATTAGCTTTGAGTTGGTTTCCCTACTACCTCAGTCACCATTCAGACCTCAAATGGTTGGTACTAGGACCAGACCACACAGCAGGTGAGGTTGAGGGCTTAGGCACAGCGTTCCACACTGCATGCCTGGGTTCACGCAGATCCCAGTGCCACCCAGGGCAGCTGATAATGCACCATGCAGCAACACAAGTCCACACCACTTCCATCCTGGGCCTACCTGGTGAGCCCGGCGCAGCCGTGTAAAGTATGCCTCCCTCTGCAGGGTGTGGGGAATGGCGGTAGAGGAGACAGAGAAAGGTCAGAGAACTATAGAACAGGGAACCAAGGAGGCCAGGAGAAGAGGAACCCAAGAAGGAAGAAGGGACTAGCCCTGAAAGGGCCCCAGGATACCTGGCTCTGTCCATGGAACGGGGGTGGGGCAGCCTCAGAGCTCCCCTTCCTAGGAGTCCCTGGTCTCCCTGGCCCCTGGCTCTCAGGACAAATCTACTTGAGTGCTGGCCTTAGACAGCAGGGAATTCCCCAGCAGGGGACTTTCCCTGGATACCACCAGGTGGCCGTGGTTGCTCAAGGAACATACTTGGGCAGGCTGCCCTGGAGTCTGTCCCTATGACCCTGCCCCCAAACCATCACCATCCCCTTCTCCCCAGAACATGTCTGGAGTGGCAAAGACACGCCCACCTCTGACTAGCACACTTGAGTCCCAGCATGGCCACCTACTAGCTGTGGGACTTAAATTACCTATCCTCTCTTGCCTCAGTTTCCTCACTTATGAAATAGGGCAGTAGTATGTACCTGGCTCATACACTTTTGATCTATGACATGAAGAAGTGCTTGGAGCCATACCTAGCACACAGTAAATATGGCCTGTAGGATTGTCATGCCCAGTACCAAGCACAGAGCCCGTAACATACACGAGGGAATTCTGAGCAAATGAATGACCCTGAAACTGTGCTTCACTTGTCTGTATGTTTCCAGGGCCTCGCTCAGGACCTGTTTTTGAATAACTGCATGAAAGCAAACAATCATTAACTGATGAGCACTTATGTGCCAGGCACAATCTCCAGTTCTTCCAGCTGCCCTAGAGTTGAGCATTATCATAAGGTATCCACCTGGCAAGCAGCAGAGCTGGGATCGAGACTGACATCCATTGGACCCCAAGGCCACATGCTTACCCACAGTTTGGCAGCCACATGGCAGATGCCTGCCTGCTTACCCACAGTTTGGCAGCCACATGGCAGATGCCTGCCTGCTGGCCGAAACTACTCATAAGCCACTGACCCTGGTGCAAAGCAGGGGCCTGGCTCAGCACTGGCACTCGGGGCGGGCTTGCAGCCCCTGCTGCAAATCACACCTTGTCTCCCTGGTATGTCTCCGGCAGCTGCCAGTAGAAGGACTCGTGGCCAAGGTGGGCGAAGTTGCCAAAAGACAGCTGGGCACCCTCGGGCACAGGGTCCACGGTAAAGCCTCCTGTCAGGTGGCTGTTCCGCTGTGGGTTCACCAGGACAAAGCCTTGGAAGTCTCCAGGGGCAAAGTGGGTGGAGATCTGGCAGTAGAAGGAGGACAGATGTCAGTCTGAGCACTGGGACGGGTGCCTTGGTGGGGGACAGGGAATGGGAGGGCGCTAGGGCAGGTAATGGGGGCTTGCTGAGATTTGTGCTGGGGAAAAACTAAAGGGGATATGGGGGGGAGGGAGGACATTAGGGCAAGGTGAAGGTTGTTGGGCTCAGTGAAGAGATGGGCAATGATGGGGGCAGTGGGGACGCCACTGAGGACAGGCTCCTGACTTGCCCCATGAGGATCTAGGGAGTGCCAGGCCCACCCCCACCCCCCCCAGTGCTGGGGCAACACAGGCTCTCACCAGGTGGCGGGTGTAGGAGGAGCTGGCACACTGCTGGGTGACGCCCATGCAGAAGCAAGGCAGGCAGCCATCAGGGTTGCTGGCGCTCAGGTGGAAGTGGTGGGGCCGGCAGTGGTTGCAGGTGAGGCCTTCCACTTGGGTCTGGGGTGGATGGATGGAAAGATGCAAGCAGGTAACTCGAGTGGGTGTCCTACACCCCAAGCAGCCCGAGGCCAGCCTTTCCAGGCACTTGTGGCAGTTCTGGACAACCCCTACTCCTCACCCCTATGCCCTGGCCCCTCCAGGCCTCGGGCAACAGGTGGAGGGATTTGGACTGACCTTGCAGTAGCACTGACCAGTAGCATCACATTGAGTGCTGATGCTGCCCTCGGGGTCACAGCCACAGCCTATGGGCTCTGGCATCTGGCCATCTCCTGTGGTAGAGGGAAGTCACAGCTGGAGCCTCAAACTTAACCACCAAGTGCTCCATTTCCCAGAATACTGAACACCCAGCTCAGCACTGAGGGGGAACATTTACTTCCAGTGTGGGTGCTCTACCCTCTCATAACAGCCCTCAGAGGTGGTGGGCAGGCCGTTCCTATCCCCATTGTACAGATGGAGACTGAGGCTCAGAGAGGTAAAGCTAAAGGAGAATAATGGCTGGGGAGACCGGGTAGTTCAATCTCAACGATCTCCCCAACACTACTCACTTCGGCATGGCTGGCCCTGGCTGGGATTGCCATAGTAACCTGGGGCACACCTGCAGAGAAAGAAAGCCTCTGATGAATTTTTTTTTTTTTTTTTTGGAGACAGAATCTCACTCTGTCACCCTGGGTAGAGTGCCACAGTGTCATAAATCACATCAACCTCAAACTCTTGGGCTTGAGCAATCCTCTTGCCTCAGCCTCCTAAGTAGCTGGGACTATAAGCATGTGCCACCATGAAGGGGTAGTTTTTCTGTTTTTTCTTTCTTTTTTCATAGAGATGGGGTCTCACTCTTGCTTAGGCTGGTCTCGAACTCCTGAGCTCAAGCAATCCTCTTGCCTCAGTCTCCCAGAGGGCTAGGATTACAAGTGTGAGCCACTGCACTTAGCCGCCTTTGAGGAAGGGAAGCAGAACCCCGGGACTAGGTTGGGGTACCTATACTGGACCCAAGGGCCTCAGGCACTGGAGGAAAGTAGCAGCCCAATTCAACCGGGTTATAGATGGGTTCTGGGGGAAGAGCAGGGACATGCTCTGGACCCCACAACCAGTGAGATTAGTGTGATTGGGCCTTGAGCCAGGACCTTTAGCAAGAATGTGGGGTCTTGTGGAAAGACCCTGGCCTGGCTAGGGTAGGGGGTGCTGGGGGCTGAAGGGGAACCACGGGCCAGGATATCTGAGGGTCTCAAATGCCAGGCTAGAGGGTGAGGCTCTGTGTAGTAGTAAGAGGGTCCCTGGCACCTCTGGATTAGGAGGGCTGGAACCAGACTAAGGACTCCAGGGAAGCCCCTCCACATATCCCCACACTCCCGCCACCCACCTCACCTCTCACAGTGACGCCCGCTGTGGCCTGGGGAGCACGCGTCACAGGTGGGGTGGCTGTCTGTGTCCAGAAAGCAGGTGTGGGTAGCCCTGAGAGTGTGGGGGCAAATTTCCCATCAGAAAAGCAGCGGCTCTTTCTTCTCCCCTGACCCTCCTGCAGGTCCGGGGGAGAAGGGAGAGGAAGACAGGTACATGAACTAATAGGTCCTGAGTGCCAGCTATGTGCCAGGCACTGTACTAAGGGGTCCAACAGCGTCACCTCTCTCAGTTCTCACCCTAGGGGCTAAGGTGGGTGGACTGAGGAAGGTGAGGCCCTAAAAGTGACCCACTGAGGCAGGGTAAGGTCAGGATTTAACCACTGAAGGGTCCAGGAGGGAGGGAGTGTGGGAAAGGGTGGTGGAAATTTCAGGGAAGGGCAGGTATGGGCAGGTATAGGCAGGGAGGGAACGCACTGGCCAGAAGCGGGGGCTCCATAGCACGGGCACCGCTGGCAGTCCTGTGGCGTCCCCTGCTGGGCATCCCCATAGTATCCTGGCTGGCACTGCTCACACCGAGGGCCCTCGGTGTGGTGCTGGCAGCCCTGGGAGGGGCAGAACGTGGGTTGAGACTGAGCCCTTGGAGGCCACAGATCCCTGGGGTGGGAGGAAGGAAGGCAGGACTCACCTGGCAGACACCTGTTTCAGGCTCGCACACCTCTGAGTGGCCATGGCAGCTGCAGCGTTCACAGGTGCCCAGATAGAGGCCACTGGGCATGCGTGTGTAGCCTGTGTCACAGTCCTAGGGGCAGGAAGATGGCAATGAGAAGGGCTTCCTGGACAGGGCCCAGTCTGGGTAGGAGCACCATGTGGCTGGGCTGGGGAGGTGGGGAAGAGCTAATGGAGGAGCAGCTGGGAGCACCTTGGAGGCAGGTGGCAATACAGGGGGTGGGGCTCAGGACTCACCTGGCAGGATGGGCCACGGTACCCGGGCGGGCAGGTACATTGCTCCACTTCCAGTGCAGGATCCTGGCCGGTGTCCTCAGGCACAGCTATATCCATGCTGATGCCAGAGACCCTGGGTGTGACAAGACCCACTACAAATGAGTACTTACTCTGTGCCAGGCAGGCCTGGAGACTGGGGGACCTCATTAGCCCTCCTGATAGCCCTGCTGTGATGCTGCGGGAGCTCTGTCCAGAACCCTTCACCCCACCCTCATTGTAAGGGGCACGTCAAATGGCTTAAACCTTCAGTCTTCCTTGCCCAGGGAGGTTATCCCAGCCCACTCCCCAGGGTGCCTGGTGGCTGGCTAATACAGGGTACTAAAGCCCATTCTCTTCCAAGTAAGATGATTCTTCTGGGTCATTTACTCTCCAGAGGTCCCTGTGGGATGAGGCTGAGGCTGGACTTGACCCGAGTCCACATCCTTGCTCGGCCCCTTCCCCTGCCTGTGACCCTCCCTCCGTTACAAGTCCTCCCATGAATCATGTGTGCTCCATCCCAGGCTTCACTTCTAGGCAACCTAAGACAAGCCCTGTGAGGGAGGCATTGTCACAACGGCCATTTAACAGAAGGGGAGCATGAGGTACAAAAAGGCCACACAGTGTGTAAGTGGCAGAGCCAGCCGTCTGGCTGCACCACATTAGACTGGAGCCCCTCACCTAGCCCACCCCCTCCCCAACCCCCCGTGCTGCCCCAGCCCTGACACCTGCTCTCAGCTGGGTGCTGGGTGTAGGATGCTTGGATCAGGAGGGTGTTGATGTCTGCCAGTGCCATTAGCAGGTGCTCTCGCGTGGCTGGCTGCCCGTCTGGCCGCTGCCATGCTTGCTGCCAAGGAAAGGACACATGTGCTTCAACATCCTGGGGTGTCAACACCCCTGAGTGAGGGGAGGAAGGGCCTGCCCCCAGCCCACCCCCATGATAGGCTCCTGGGGCAGTGTGGCTCACCTCCCAGAAGGGCACAGTGAAGGTGCTGGGCTGGCCGGGGATGGGCTCCTGGGAGGTGTGATGCTCCAAGACAATGCCGTTGCCCTGCAGCACCACCAGCGGCTGCCCGTGCAGGGGTGTGGAGCCAGGCTGAGGCCGCTGGGTCACTGTGAAGCGAAGCTCCCCTCCATAGGAGGTGACCTGGACCCAGGGTGGACAAGTGCTTAGCAAAGGCCCACAGTCGGGTCCCATGGCTGCTCTGCCCACCTTCTCCTTGCAGACCATCTCATTATTCTCCCAGGTACCATGACACTCCTGCTTCTAAGCCTTTGCCCATGCTGCCTGGAGCTCCCTGTCTCTTCCCACCCCCTACCCACCTTGTCCCCCTGGAAGCGTGGAGGAAGGCTCCAGAAGTAGGGTCCAGGTAGGAGGTGGTGGAAGGAGGAGAAAACCAATTCCCCAGATGCAGGTGAGGAGATGCCATCGGTGGTGGTGTGGGTACCTGCGGCATTGGTCAGGCTGAAATGAGCAGGCTCTTCGGAGGCGCCAAGCACCTGGTATGGGGAGAAAGGGCTGGGATGGGGCCGCAGCCTAGGGCTGATGCAAGGTGCACCTATCCCTGGGCTCGGCAGTCCAGCCCACCTGCCTGCTCGCCTTGCCTAGGTACCTGGGCACGGCTCCATGAAGAACTGGTGCACTGGCGACTGACACCCATGCAGAAGCACTTGAGGCAGCCGTCGGACTTTCGGTTACCCAGGTGGAAAAAGCCATTGGCACACTCTTTGCACAAGCGCCCCACCACGTTGTTCTGCAAGCACAGAAGCTGGGAGCTGCAGGATAGCCCACAGGAGGGGCTACCTGGAGCTTCCGGCTGAACCTGCCCACAGATTAGATGGGGACCCAAGGCCCAAGGGAGCCACTGAAAAAGCACATGTATGAGGCATCACTACCATTTGAACAATAATTCCCAGTCAATGGGGAATATTGGGCTTATAAAACCATTTTTTTCCCTTTTCTCTATGGCTGCCAGGGGGCTCACAAAAAAGTTTCAGTTTAAAACACAGCAACTTGATGAAAACAATTATTGCTACTAATTATGGAATGTTTCATGCACTGTGCTAGTTGCTATTCAACCATCCCCTCATTTAACTCCCCTAAGGACCTTCAGAGGTAGATGATATCTCCATCCTTCACAGGAGGAAACTGAGGGTCAAGGACATGAAATGAATTGCACAAGATCACTCAGGTTGTTCATCCACTCTGGGATTTCCATTTAGGAGTGTCTAACTCCAAAATACGTTTAGTTGTTTTTTTCACGGACACTTGATTCTCCCATTCTTAACGTAAATGATGTCCCTTCTCTGAGCCCTCATTTCCTCATCCACAAACTGGGGATGCCAATATGTACATCTTTGTGTCCATGTGAGAACTGACGGAGTACAGTAAAAGTGGCTGGGACTGAAACTCGGGTCCCCTGACTCCCTAACTAATGCTCCTTCCCAATACCCGGCCACCTTTCACGGTATGGAAGACTAGTTAGCCAGCCCCCCCAGCCTCTGGGTAGGACAGCAGTCACTGGCCAAGGAGTTATGGAGAGAATATGGGGCCTTCTTCCTCCCTCCCCCTGCTGGGGTGCCTGGGCCAAAGCACCCAGGGCAGGTGGGGGCGCCATGCATACCTTGCAGCGGCATGCCACCTGTAGGCTGGACCCAGAGGTCTCCACGCTGCCACGCTCATCACAGCGCACAAACTCCTGGTCTGTGGCACAAAGTGGGTGTTGGCAGGGCAGGCGAGGATGGGATAGACAGAGTCTGGGCAGAGGGACAGAGTGGGATGGCTCCCCCAGGATCACTGGCTGGGGCAGGGAGGGAGGGGACCTGGTGGGCAGTCTGGGGAGCTGCCAGGGGAGGGCAGCTGCAGTACTCACTGGTGGGCCTGCACTTCCCGCCTGGCTGGATAGGGTTGCCCTCATATCCGGCGGCACAGCTGGGTGAGAGATGGGGCTGTGAGCAGCACTTCCATGTCCCTACCTGCTACAGCCCACTTCCCGCAGGCCCTGAGGTTCTTCCTCACCTCTCACAGCGGCGACCTGTGTAGCCTGGTTCACATGCATCACATGTAGCTTGGCCGTCTGTGTCCAGGAAGCAAGTGTTTGAAAATCTGTGGGTATTGACAGGGTGTGGGGCAGGGCTGGGGTCAGGACATATACTCTCACCCCAGGCAATGACAGATGCAGTATGCCAGGAGGCATGATGCCAGCTCTCAGCACACTTTCCTTAATCTGCAGCCTTGTAGCAGCTGCAGGAAGGCAGATGGGCCCATTACATAGAGAAGGAAGCTGAGGTCAAGGAGCACGAGACCACTCAGTGACCAGGTTGGAATTTGAATCCAGGGCTCCTGCTTTTCTGCTCAGATAGAATATTCCCCCAGCCTGTGGCAACGCCCACAGCTCCCACCATATCCATCCCACCCAGGGCTGGGTCTGACCTTTGGGAGGCATCAATGTATGGGCAAGGGCAGGGCCGGCAGGCAGTGGCTGTGGCCTTCGTGGCATCCCCAAAGAAGCCGGCCTTGCACTTGTTGCACTGTGGTCCTTCTGTGTTGTGCTGGCAATTCTAGGGGGATGAGGAGGGAGTATCTCAGGTTCTACTGAGCAGAAGTGGACTGGACAGGCTCTGGGGTAGTAATGCTGAGAATACTGGAATTATTCCACAGCTTTGCAGATCAGCTACACCCCCTTACAGATGACAGGGAGCTCATCAACTGACATGGCAGCCTGTCCCAGAAATGGTTCCAAATGCCTACATTTATTTATTTATTTATTTTTGAGATAGAGTCTCACTTTGTCACCCTTGGTAGAGTGCCATGGCATCATAGCTCACAGCAACCTCAAACTTGGGTTCAACCGATCCTCTTGCCTCCCAAGTAGTTGGGACTATAGTTGCCCGCCATAATGCCTGGCTCGAGACCAGACTAAGCAAGATCAAGACTCTGTCTCTATGAATAGCTGGGCATTGTGGCTGGCACCTGTAGTCCTGCTACTTGGGAGGCTGAGGCAAAAGAATCACTTAAGCCCAAGAGTTTGTTGCTGTGAGCTATGATGCCATGGCACTCTTTCGAGGGTGACAAAAGAAGACTCTTGTCTCAAAAAAAAAAAAAAAGGAAAAGAAAAGAAAGAAGGTGTGACACCCAGGCTCGTGTCCCTTTGGGCTGCCATTCTAAGAGCCACATTTCTTTGCATGGCACTCTCCAAGATTAGTCTGATGAAGGTGGAAGAGATTAAGATCATTACCTCCCTGGTCTGGATGCTATAACTCTGTTGTTAATGCATCCAGAAGTCACAACAGCTTGCTGGAGGTCATTCTGGATGCTTGTGCTAAGTTTATGGATACAAAGGAGTCTGTTCCTAGTCTCATGTAGTATCCAAGTGCCAGTTGGCACAACTCACCAGACAGTGGCCATACACAGGGTCACAGGAGCTGGCGTGGCCATTGCAATTGCAGCCAGAGCAGGTGCCTAGGTAAGGCCCACCAGGCACCCGGGTGAAGTGGGCATCACAGCTCTCACAAGATAAGCCAGAGTAACCAATGGGGCATCTGTAGGGACAGGACCAAGAGAGTGGCTATAGGAACCAAGAGCCCTGCTGTTTCTCCCCTATCCTTGCCAGGGCCTCTGTGGTCCCCAGCCCTGTTGGGGCAGGCACCTGCACTCTTCCACACTGTGGGCACGGCCATGGCGGGTTGCGTGGGTGACGGTGGTATCCATGGTGATGTTGCTCAGCCCTACACTGGCCATCTTGGTGTTGTATACGGTCTGGATGAGCACGGCCTCCAGGCTCTGCAGCACCTGTAGCAACTCTTCTCGCTGCACCGGACGGCCAGACTCGTGGACCCAGTGCTCCTGGGTATGGGCAAAGGTGGGGAGGGTCACACATTAGCACCCACCTAGACCACTTTCCCCTTACCCCCAGCCCTAATAGGCTTAGGTGCCACCTACCTCAGAGAACTGGACCTGGCGCTGGTTTACAGTGCCAGGCTGGGTGGGCACGTGGCCTCGGGAGTGTAGGCGATATCTAGCACCAACAAGGACCACATCCGGCTTCTGTACTGGCTCCAGCATTCCACGTGCAAGCTCATAGCGCACCCTGTAGCGCAGGAAGCCACCATAGGAGTCCACCTGGCCAAGATAGGATGGATTAGGGCAGGCAGCCATGGGCACACTTGATGCCTACTGATGCCAGCGCGAGCAGCTGTGTCCAGTCCTTAGCTGCTCCCTCATTCTGCTGACCTGATGCTACCTTTGTGCCTGTCCCTGAGCTGGACACAGCGAAGCCAAGATGGGTAAGAACTAGGCCCCACCTCTGGGGTGCTCAGCGCATGGCAGGAGAATGTGACAATGTTGTGCAAAAGGTGCCCAGGGAGGCCAGTATAGGAACAGTGGTCAGGGGAGCTCCTGGGAAGAGGAGATGCCAGCTCTGTTTCCCAAGCCAGGAGAGGCAGGAAGAGGTCCTGTCCTGAGTGAATGAGCTACTATCACTAGAGGCTTCCCCAGAGAGGTCAGGGGCCCAACAGCTTCAGAGGTAGCAAAACCCACTCGGGCCCTGGGCATGGAAGGAGGAGCTGTGCCCATTCTCCACCCAGGGCAGGGGCTGGGTTCCTCACCTTATTGCCCAGGAACTGCTCAGGCAACGCCCAGAAAGAGTCATGGACAAGGAAGCGGCGGGACAGGTCGACCAGCTGGAACTCCTGTGATGTAGGGTCGATCTGCAGCTGGGTGGAGGACAGGGGTGGCATGCCAGGCTGCGCAGGCATCGTCACGTTCACGCCTGTGGGTGGCAATAGCATGTGCCTGCCTGAGAGCCTACCTTAAGGGGTGGCAACCCAGGAAGGTTCTGGGGGGAACTTTTAGTTAGAGAACACTTTAGTCTTTCTCCCAAAGTTAAAAAAAAGCAAAGTTTTTTTCTCCCAAGTTTTTTTATTCCTGAGAAGTTTTGGAACAGCATTTCCCAAAGTATGCTCTGGGGAAGGTCAATGCTGCG